AAAAAAAAAAAAAGAGAAGCAAAAAACGACCCCACAGTGTTGAGAAAGTAGACCAAAACTCCTTGGCAAATTGCTTTATACTAAACTTGGTCATCTGAGCCTTACACACTACCCAACAAAGCCACTGGTGTTTGAGCTAGTGACAAGGGAATTTGATAATAAAACACCTTTAGTAATGGAAAACTTTAAACTGACTATAGTAAGATTTTTTTTGAAATCATAAAATCAACCTAAGTTAACTTACAAGTACCATACTGAAACTTTTCCAAAAGGGGAAACCAGGAGGCTACTGTTTTGTCTGTAGACTTCTTTTATTGTTGGTTAAGATTACAGAGTAGCTTTTCAGAGCAGACTTGCATTTTAAAAATAATGTGGCCTTATGTGTTGCTGCTTTGTACAAATTCTTAACGCTGTAGGCTTAAATAATAAAATCCTTGCAAGATACTGAAATGTCATGACAGAAAACAAATTTTTGATGTGATTAGATTCCCCGTGCTTTATTGTCCATTTGCACGCACATGTGCTCTGAAAATGAGAGAAGTGAAGTGTTTGCAAGCTGGGAGGAGAAGGGCACCGAGAGCATTGCTGAAAGAACATTTATTTAAACACAGTGTAAGGATAAGCCTCCTCAGATGCTGTTTCTGCTGAATTCTCCTCTGTCATGGTGCCTACTACATTCCATTGCTTTTGTCTGGGCTTGGTATTTGGGAAATTTTGGTGAGGGCTGGAAGGTGGGGGGGCACGCTGGAAGCTGGTCAGCAGTAAGGAGAGGCGGGCTGGTGTGGGAATTGTGGAGTGGGGTCAGGGTTTAACTTTAGTGGCCATTCATCAGATGATGATTGATTGCTGTGCAGTCCCGGGGGACGTTTAACAACATCTCCGCCCATCCCCCTGCCCCCTTTGAAAGCAGATGGACCAAAAAATGGGGAGAGCGACACCCAGGAATTCCTGCTGTTGTAAAATGTTTTTACGGTGCACTGTACAGCCTTTCCTGAAGCAATCACATTTATGGCCTTGCTGTTGTATTTCTTGGGCTGCTGTGGCTGTAAAAGATGAATAGCCCTGTAACATGGTTCACTGATTCTGTTTAAATTGAAGTAGGCTCCCTTTATTGTTTTGTGTCTAAAATTGTATGCCACCAATTCAGGAAATATTTCCTGTTTGGGAAATAATCAACCCATAGCTGATTTATTTTAAAATAAATCACTTTTAACTATCTCTAAAACTTGTCCCCCCTTCCTTCTGATTTCTCACTCCACTTAAATCTGGTGGAAATTCTAAAATACTAATTAATTGAGTAGAAGAGTTTAGAAAAAAAAGAAGTCAAAGCTCCTAAACTTGCTTATTAATCTTCTTTTTCCATGCTGGATAGGTACTGTAGGGCACCAATTTTTATCTTAAAAATGGTATTTTTACCTAATTACTTAATAATTACTACAGAAAGAAACAATTCATTAAATGCAATTTACACAGATTATAAATTTCTGTGGAAGGAGAAATCTGTCTCTCTGCTTTCATACTTCTTTCCTTGCTGCCCATCAGAGCATTCATGTGGTTTGGAAAAACCCGCAAAGTTTGAAGGTGTTTGCTTATAAACCAGTTTTTCCTATGTTTGGGTAAATAGTGAAATTAACAGGACAATAGTTAACTTACAGCTTGATGGATCTTTTGCCTGTATAATCTCTGCCTCTTCAGATAGGGAGGGGGAAAAATTTTTAGGACTTTGCTATAGGTACTGTTGTGGTTTCTTTTTGGTTTGGTGTTTTTGTTTTTTTTTGGTTGGTTTTTTTTTGAGGTGGTGTGTAATTTGTTTTTTTACTGAGTAAGCTGATGTCCACTAAGGAAGACTTAGTCTGACTCTTCTTCCCTCCTGCTACTTCTGCCCATCCACACTTCAAGACAAGTCTTCTTATTTGTCCTGAGAGGAGCAGGAGTTATTTGTGCTGGAAGGAGCGTTGCAATATCTGAAATGTGGGGAGGCCATCTCACATTGCTGGAACTGGAAGAAGGGGGGCTCTGCCAGTGCCGTGGGTGCACTGTGTGTGCATCAGTTCTGAACTGAGGACACAGCTGTGCATTGTCCTACACCTATCCTCGGTATGATTATCTTTTTTTTTCTTTTTTTTTCCAGGGAGTTGCTTGTTTGGGGGATGGGGGGAAAGGGGAGCTCTGGCTCCCCCCACCCCCCTCTATTTAGAACCAGGCATAGAAACTTAATCTAGCAGTACGTGACCTTTGTGGCCGTGACCTAGGGACTGGGATGTGAGCAGGCTTGAGCTTAACAATAAACTCCTGGCTGTGGCTGTGGCTGCAAGCACAGGCAAGTTGGATGCTGTGCCCAAGCCCCATCAGCCCGGCTGGTACAACCCCCCCTCACTGTTGTGCCCTGCACAGCCAGAGGTTTCCCAGGTTTGTTCTCTGGGAGCGTGCCCCCTTTGCTGGGTGGAGCTGCTGGGTGCCCCTGACAAGTGTGTGTGACACTGGCTGCGGGAGGAGACCTGCCCTTGTACCCCTGCCAGGTTTGGGGCTTCTCTTGGAGTCTTTGTGCCCAGGAAGGAGTTTCTGGGGAGTTGCTAGTTCACCTTGAAGCTGACTCCTTCAGTGCTCTTCTGGTGGCTGGCTGGCTAGTTCCCCTTCCCACAGAGAGCACTAGGGATTGTGCATGTGTGAGTCTCCTCTCTGTGTATTAAGGTGAAGTGTAGTGATGGAGATCAGACCAGTATATTTACTTCATTTTGCCCCAGCTTCCTAACTCTTTTGCTCTCCATTTTTAATCTGTGTTGTTTTTACCTTGTTTTGTTTTGTTTGTTTAAGAAATAAATAAGGCCTTATCAATGGCTCTATATTATTTACCCAAGACCTTCCCCTGCCATGTCCTATGTAACATGACTGTTTCCTAAATGAGAATATGGCTCTTGTCACTCTTCATTCAAAATTCAGGAGTGATGTTTCCCCACTGCATTTTGGTGGGTGGCAAAAGGCAACTGAACAGTTTAAGCTTGGTTTTTTCTTTGGCTTGAACAGCTGTGGATGACTCTTTTACGCAGTGGATGCTGCTACCTTGCAACAGGAGAGGACTGAGCTTTTGCTCCTGGCATTGACTGTTGTGTTGGACTAGTAACAGATTTAACTTGCTTCTGGTCTTCTCTTCATATGGTCACCATTTTCTTTTCAGCTGCTCTGCTTCACTGAGGCCCCAGATCCCTCCTTTATGTTTCTAAAGTATATCAGATTCATATGACTTAACTTGATACCTTGTCTTGATTTTCATTCTCTCTCAACTTCTCTGTTGTTTAAGTGGAGTTATTCAGGAACATGTAATAAACATTCCCTGTAATTTCAGCAGAAAAATTACAGAGCTTCATGTGCAAGTGGACATTGTATACATATTTAGACAACCGCAGTGTAAGGACAAGGATCCCTCTAGTTGAGGAAGATGATGTGTTTGAACAATGCATTTCAGTGCTAAGGCATCTTTTTACTTGGAAAAATGGGAATCTAAGACACTGCTTGAGGATTTAGTGTTTGAACAGAAGTAAACATAAGTCTGTTCCGGTTTCCCTACCACAAAACCTAATTTCAGAAAAAAAGAGGGCAGGTTTTAGTAAAACCTGATATGCACATGAACACACACATACCCCTTTGAGAAATTAATCCATATACCACTTCAGCTGTTGTGCTTATAGGAGCTTAAATTGTCACTTTATGCAGGCCAGGCAATCCAAGGGGGGGAATCACCTGTCCTGTCCTTCCCCTTGCTTTTGAGGGAGAAGGAAAAGGGGATGTAATGCACCATATCTCACGAGCTGTTAGCTGGAGTCGGGAGTGGCTGGATGACAGCTGGGAGAAGACAGGCATATCAAAAACACTTGTCCCATCTTTGTTCTGCTCTTGCTCCTTTCTGTGAGGTAGGCTTCAAATAGCTGCTGGTGGAAAAGTTTGTAGTATGAAACCTCATGCCATTGTACGTTTCCATGGTAATACAGATTTTTTTATTATTACAGTTTAAGAAAAACAGTGTGTGTAGTTAAGAGCAAGACTTGATTATAGAATTTTCTTATGTTGGAGTGTTGTGCTTCTTCATTTGCCTCTTTGTAAAGAAAAACTTGAGAGCCAGTTACTGCTTCCCTCTAAGAAGGCAGGCTTCCATGGAAGTTGCTATTTCTGTGTGTTACTTCCCTCTACTGGATGGAATGGGAGCAGCTACGGCTGATGAATGAATGGATCGAGCTTTCTAGGCTAACATCTTGGTCTAAGTTGTGATTTGAAAATAGGGTTTGGGAGTGCTTTGTGAACAGAACGGGGATTTAGTGGTTACCCACAGGTCACTGTAGCATTCAGACACTCTGATGGGCGTGATAAAGTTCCAGTCTTGTTTTCCAGCTCAAGCATCTCGAAGCATCACTAGCATAGAAAACACTGTCATAGCAAAGGATTTTTGCTTTGTTGATGGAAGTGGCGGGGGGAGTTTTGCCCAATATTGTTGCTGTCCTGAACATAAGGGATTTGCATATTTTGAAGACAGAGGATGGTTCTTGGCATGCATGGTTGGTTTTCCCCTTGTGAGCAGTGGGTGTGCTGCTGTTGCAGCTCTCCAGTGTATTGGTTGTTGAACGGCCCTCTTAAGAGAATTTGGTGTTTGTATTTGCAGGAAAAGTCTTCACCTGAAACTTGCCATAGATGCCATCTCCAATCTGTAAGTGTTGGCAGATGGCTTCCGCTCTTAAGAGGAGCTGATGTGGACACTCTTCCTAGTATTGTATTGCAAAGAAAACAATGACACTTCCATCTAACTGTCAGGGCATGATTTGGAGTTTACTGGGAAGGATAGCTCTTCCTCTTTGGAGAAACTATTGTGAAGTCTTTGCCTATTGCTTCTGCCTCTCACCATCTCCTTTATAGTTGAGCTTTTGGAATTATTTTTTTAAACGCATCCTGGCTCTGTTTTCTTTTAATTTCTTCTTTATGTAGTGAGAATTTTTTTTCTGCCTTTCTTCCAGGTACTGCATTTCTACTGTGATACCTGTTCTGTCCCCATATGTCGGGAATGTACCATGGGACGACATGTGGGTCACAGCTTTATCTACCTCCAAGACGCCCTACAGGACTCCAGGACTCTGACCATTCAGCTCCTGGCAGATGCTCAGCAAGGACGACAGGCTATTCAAGTAAGATACTCCCAACTTGAGCACTTTATTTCCCCCTCCTTCTTCTCCCCCCTCTCCCACCCAGCTTGTCTGTTACAGGGCAAGGTGTCAAGGCAAAAAGTTCTCTGCTTCTGCTGTCAGTCTTCTCACCCCTTCTGTTCTCTCAGATCTCTGACAGAAGTGGCGGTGGAGCTGAAAATAAAGTGCTGTTATGAGTTTTGCATTCTTGCAGCATAATCCTGTCATGTAAATCACAATATATATGAAGCTCTGTACAAATGCACTTGAGTGTGAAGCGTTTCAAGAAAGCTCAGATCTTGTGTGGCAGTGCCAAACCTGGTTTTGTTTTTATGACTGAGACTTTCTTTGAGCACCTTCCTGCATGTGTGGCTTCTAGCAGTCTGCCTACCTTTGACTCTTGTTACATCTTAGCGTTGCCACCAAATACAAAATAATAATCAACTGCTGGATTAGTGTGAAATTCCTTAACCTGCATGTGCAGAGGATCTAGAGCTATCTGACTGTGAGGACCGTTCTGCACACACAGATGCACACTCTGCCTATTAGATTGCTCTACTCAGCTGTGTTTTATAGCACAAACATCAATACCTGCCAAGGGCTGGAAGGAAGGTAGCACAGTGCTTCAAACTAGAGAAGGAATTTTCCTAGGGAATTAAACTGCAGTGATATGTAGATACTTTTGTAGAGTAACACCCAGTGGTAGGTTTAATATTATATTAATAGTAGTTTTGTCTATAGGGAGACTTTGGATGGGGAGACTGCAGTGGGCAGCTTCACTCCACGCCTGTTGCCGTGTAGTTTTGTTAGTGTCATGTCCTAAATTTGACTTTGATATTACAAAACTCAACTCTATATGCTTTAACTACTAAGATTTTATTTTTTTTTAAAGCCAACTTTCGTAGAATGTAATGGATGGGGAGTTAACTTACTTTCTGAATTGGGTGGGCTTTCCTGGCATATGTAAGGTACAAACAATGATTAAAATAACCTAAAGCTCATTGTCCTCCTTCTGCTGCTTGCTTCTAGTAAATGAAGGTATTAAGCTTGTTCTGTGAGACGAGCAACTAATTAGTCTCTCATTAAGTCTTTGCACCAGTGGAATGATAATAGTTTATGTTGATAAAGATAGTAATCAGTTGTTGACATTTTCCTTCACCTTCTGATGTTAACTTGTTACATTGGCACGCAAAAAAACCAAGTTTTTTGGAACTGGATGGCTAACTTTAAACTCCAGCTTCAGGCAGAATCCTGGAAAACATAGCATCTTCCAAGATTTGTTTTAAACTGGGCTGTAAAGCTCTTCAGCAGTGTCCATACTGAAATGCTTTACAAATCCCCAAAATGACAAGAAGGAAGGAATTATACTAGTTTAGAGACCATCACTGAATTTCTCCAGGCTGTCCTAGACAAGGGCTTGCCTGTTAGTAATTAAATTACTGCTTTTGACCTCCAGGGCTCTTAATCATCTAACTGGTACAGCTAAATCATCTAAGGACTGTGTTTTGGAGTAGAAACTAGCAGGAGATCATGGAGCACCACTCTGCTACTATTGCATAAATGCTTTTGTGCCTGATTTTCTTCCCACTGAGTTTACTTTGCTCATTCCTCCCTTATCTTTTTCTGCCTTTTATGCTGAAGACTCCTGCCATTGTGGTGGGCTGATTGTTGCTTGATGGTGCAGGTAAAAGTTCCATGATACTGGCTATGCTCATGTAGCTTGAACAAGCAACTCTACTGAATTTAGCTCATGCAGCTTTGCCCAGGTCTGGCTGTCTTGGAAGTATTAGCTGAGCAGCTTGTGTAAAGACGTAAAATTAACCACGTTTTCAAGAGCTGAGTTGTTTCATTAGTTTAGTGGAGTTCTTAATCTGGACCACTGCACAAAAGAAGAGTAGTGAGCAAACAGAACAGTGATTAGGTTAACAGGATGGAAATCTGCATGTGCAGGAATGGGAAAATTGTTAGCCTAAGCCAGCTACTCCTGAAGCAACATCAGCAGCAACCAGAAGAGCACGTGATGCTGTTAAAAGCAGAGGTGCTCAACTCCAAGTTTCCATGGAGCAGAGCTCTCCTTATTCTTGGGACAATATGGCTGTGAAGCTTTATGTTTATTCCAGGGAGGAGACAGCATGTCAGCATGAGGGACACAAGACTGGAGCTTTAGAGGCTTGAAAAGTAATACGTTGTATTAACACTTCTTAGTGGGACTGATACACACTGCTGTACCATAAACTCTTTCTTAATAGGCTCTGAAAGTGATAGCTCCCCTGGCAGGAGATGTTGAGGATGGATGAGGAGGGGTAGTTGAGAGTAAATGGGAAAAGGTGGAATTTGAAGGGCAGCGTTGCAGGAGAGAGGAAATCAAGCCATGAGTCAACTGGCTGGAGAGTATCTGGTTAAGCAAAGTTGAAGGCTTTTAGGAAGAAATGTTTATTTAAGCTCTTCCTGTGGCTTTGGAGGAAAGATTGTTTTTCAGACTTAAAAAAAAATGCTGTGAGTTGGGATACATTTCAACCTCTTGATCCACTGAAGCCTGATGTAGCCTGTCACTCCAGAAGAGTCCAAACCTCACTTTTCAAGGAAGTTGAAGTCCTCTGTAAGAAAGAGCAAGAAGCTTGCTTTTTTTCCCCCCCTCAGTGATTTTTTTGCAGCAGTGGAAAGCCTTCCATACTTCCTTGTGCTGTGATGGTCCTGGCTTGCATTCCTAAGCCTGTCTCTAACTTGAGAACTTGTGCCTGTGTGATGAACTGATCCAGCTGAAAGGGTAGCTTTTCTGTGGGTTTACTTTTTGGCTGGGTCAGCCCTCTGGCTGGTTCACTGCAGTGCTACAAGGACTGTTGATGGTGCCAGGGAATGAAGCAGCAGCATCCAACTGGGTTGCTGGTAGGACTCTTTCTATTTCAGCAGAAAACTATACTCCTAGCTGGGATACTTTTCCAGCCTTTTCAGAGACTCAGATTGATTCACAGGGTGATATGAAAGCCAAAGTTGACACTGGATAAATGGTGTGGGAGGAATCAGGACCGCTGCCTTTCTATATGTGGGGAGCATGTCCCGCTGCCTTGTTTTACCTCACGAAAGTGCACACTTAGCTGTCTTCTTTCAGAATTTTTTCCAAGGACTAGGTCACAAACTGAACGTAAATCTGTTATGGTGGAAAGATAGATGGCTTCTTCAAAATGTCACCTTCTTAAAATACATCTATACGTGTGTAACTGTATATATATGTATGGATGTATGCATGTAATCTAATGCACTTGCGTAACAGTAAAGCACTGAGCGCTCGTGTTCATTTAGGGTCAATTTCCAGGTGAACATGTCAAAATACATTTTAATCTTTCAGCTCAGATGTCTTAAAGTGTGGGTTTATTGGAAAACAAAATAAATTCTTTCTTAGCTGAGCCTATAATTGGTTTTGCTGGGGTGTTTGACCATGCAAGCCTCTCACTGCTTGGTGAGAGACTGGCCATGTGCAGAACATAGCGGGAGCTGCTCTCTTATCTGTCATGAAAGGCTTAGGAGCTTCCCTCCCAAATTTGTGGGGGAAGTGGTATGAAATAGATTAACACGTTTATGGGGGGTGAGGGGGTACTGTAAGAAATTCAGCTGGCCAGAGGAGGAAGCTGATCTGTTGCCTTGAGCCTCTGCCCTTCGGTGGGAGCTTCCCTGTGGGTTGCCATATGGATCTGTGCTGCTGGGAGGTCGATACCTGAGAAGGATGGCACTGCTGTGCTGCAAGGGATCTTTCTGGGGTTGTCACATTGAGTTAGCTCAGGCAGCCTTGTGCGTGGCTTTGAAGTCAGGCTCGCAGGTTTGAGAATTTTAAATGAAGCTTTGTCAACGAAATGGAGTCAATTGTGCTTTTCTGAAGCTGGGATTTATATCAAGAGGCTGGATTTCTTTGTGCTTTTAGTTGCTGTTTTGTGTGATATTTCAGTGAGTTCCTCAGTGCAGCATATGAGCAGATGGTTATTGGGGAAGATGGATTTGACACGTGTCACTGTCCAAACTACTGTTCTGCATAAAGCTGTAGGCAAAGTGTCTGTTCTTGCAGCACAAACCAAAATGATTGTTTAGTTGTATCTGGCACGAGTTAACCTGGCCTCTAGCCCTCCCTCCATTAAAGCTTCTTTTAAAATTATCTTTGAGAGAAACTTCAAGTGAGGATGTTGTAGTGTTTTACACGCATTAGACTGAAACCTTTAAATTGGTCCAGTTGTTTGTGCTATAGCTGCACCAGTATTACTGCAAATCCTGGTACCTTTCACTGCGATGGTGTAGGATCTTCCAGTCAATTTTTGTAGTGTAAGAACATCAGGAGGATTGTATCCAGTTTTTGATGCTGGAGAAAGCCAACTGTTATGTCCTGGTTGTTTTATCCTGCTTTGACACAGTGATGAGTAACTGTAAAAGTTCAGTGAAACAAGCCCACTGTATCTTAGTGTGCCTTAAGGAACTGAAAACAAACCACTTATGGCTGGAACAGCTTCCATTTGGTGGAAGAGGGCTAACTTGGGATGTACCAAAAAATTTCCTTCAGGATTTTTTGTGTTTAATGTGCTTTTAAAATCCAGACAGGAGTTGGTCAGAGAAGAAGCATCTTAGTTGTTTGTTCCCCTCTGATTAGGGTTAACTTAGTCTTAAATTCCTTAATGGTTAAACTGAAAATCGTCCATACTGAGGTAGGAAAGTGTGTATTTAATATTCTTTATTCAATACCTGTGGTCCATTCAACCCTCAAATACTGAAGAATTCCTCAGTACAACCAAAATTTGCTTTTGAATTTGAATTTTCTCTCCAGAGGTTTGCACCTTCATTGGAAAACTTGAGATTGGGAAACTTAAATGTTGGAATTAATGGCTGAAAAAATATACCTCCCTCCCATCTTTGGATGGATGGAATAAAAAAATCCCAGGGACTTTTTCAAATATGCTAATGCAAGCCAGCGTTGATGAGTTGCAGTAAAGTTGCCATAAGCAGCCTTTATGTGTCTCATGGTGCTGCCACTGTGGTGTGTTTGTTCAACTGGATAAATTCCTGGACTAAATTGGTGTGATCTAACATCGTGGCTCAGCACCTGGATCACCCTGCTGTTTCAGAGACGTGAGGTAGCCTCTTCAAATAACTGTGTGCTGGGTGGACATGCTGATTTGATTATCAGACAGCAGAAACAACTCAGTGAGGGCATCAGCACCTCTGTCATGGCTCTTCAGAGCATAAGCTTTGTAACAGTTTTTCTTTTTCCTGGAGCATTTTATGCTTCTGATTTTTTTTTATTAATTTACTTTTTAATTACCAAAGCAGCACTAGCGAAAACTCGGGAGTCTAGAACATCAAATATCCCATAGGAGTATTTAGGGATACATGAAATCATAGAAATTTTTTTTGTAACTCGAGGTTCCCGTTCCACAGTTCCTGCTGTTCCACAGAAGACAGGAATGTTGCCATTCTGTGGAATGGCAGAACTTGATTTGGGCACCTCTGTAGTCAGCATAGAAGCATGGTCAAGTTGTGCGATGCTGCCCTGCTACTTCTGATTCTTGCAGTTGGTTTCTTCATAGGTTCATGTTGTACCATCAGTTGCTGTAGCCACTGGAGCAAGATCATCACTAGTTTTTCCCTCAGCTGGTGAAATGAAGATAAAGGGGAGCTCACAGAGGTGTCCACCTAAAGGGAGCATTTATAGGGCGCTGAGGTTCTGATACAACTTTTACTCCCTTCAGCTTTTACTCAGAAACGAAATGTGCTGGTAGCAATAGCTAGTGATGGATGTCTGCATTGCTTTCCTCCATGCAAACACGTTTGTCTGCCTCACTGGAAGCTCTGTGTCCAGTGTCCTTGTGTGGTGGCCCCCTGGAACATGTCACCTGCACAAAGGACTGCTGCTCTTGAGGAATTGGAAGTACCAGTTTCAACTGTAACGTTTACAATACACTGCAAATCAGTGTTTTTCTTGTTTTTACTTGTTTTTAACAAACACAAGGCACTGGTGACTTCTCTAATAGAATGGGGAGTGGTGTTGGCCATCTTTAGAGCCCTGAGAAGCCACAGGTGGAGACGTACAGCTGCAAATAGATTATTTACTTTATTGGCCAACAGCAGGAAACAGAACAGTTGCTTTCCATCTCACATTCAGTAACCCAGAACAATTCTTGGATAAACACAGGCCTTGTCTTCTGTCTCCCAAGTGTGTGAACTGATTGACCATCTAATTCACTAGTACTGGAAAGATTGACATACCATGAGGAGAGAGCCTGATAAAAGCTATTTTTCTTTACAAGTATTGGTTGTTAAAACGATTGTGTGGTGTCTGACCAGAACAAGAAACACTGCTGCTTAACGTGCTTCCTAAAAAGTTGACCTCTCCAAGACAAGTTCAGCACAGAAAATGCCTGCAGAACAGTAGGAGTGAGTTTTCATGGCAGAACTCTGACATCTTACAGTAATCAAAGTGAACAAGGGATTTCCATGTGAGGAAGACTCCCAAAAGTTGTACTTAATGCTCTTGGCTTTTGATTCAGATATAGTTAACTTGCTATTGCTGTTCCCCCTCATCATACCTCTGCATATTCAGTGCTGGTCAGCCTTCCTAGGCTGTTGTAGCTTATTTGGGCAGAGTGCAGAACCCTCTGATTTTACCAAAACTTTACCAATATCCTGGATGATACTGGAATCTTCGCATTTTGGGCATCCCCCGCTGATCTGAGCTGTTCATACGTGGGCAAGTAAAAATAAATCCAGATGATGACATGAGTAGTTGGCAGGCAACTGGTTGTGCATAACTGGTTCCTATAGCTGAAAGATCCCAGCATCCACAGGGAATACTACTGCTCCTGCTGTGGTGGAGTTCTTGAAAAGTGGACTCTGGTTTTAGTGGGGATTAATGAGGGAAGTTGGGATTGCTCTTATCCCTAAGGTGTAATAAGGGATGCATATATATAGATCATAGCTCTAAATGGGTACTGAGTACCAAAAGCAAAAATAAGTAAATCAAGATTTTTATGCTTTCACAGACATCATTGTTAAAATTGAAATAAGAGTGGATAGTTTCCCTGACACATCTCAAGGTGATACCGCTTTCTCTTTGCAAAAGAAGGAAGGTGTTTTGCTGTATTTGATGGGAACCCAGGTCTGTTTTGGAAGAAATTCATGCTTTTCCCCTGCTGTAGGGCAGCTTCTGTATTTGAATGGCAGAGAGAAGGTGATAGAGGCACAGTGTTCTTACGTGTGGCCCCTCCTAGCTGGGTCTGAGGCCTCCTGGCTTTTATTGAAGTCTCAGTGCATGGCCAGTTGTGACTTCATGTCTACTTTGCTAAATGTTGCAATGAAATTTTCATTTTTTGTCGAATTTGTCTGCCAGAAGCTTTGTAAGAGGGCAGGTCAGCCTCCAGTGGGACTGGGGATATGTAGGCTGTCTATGAGTTTGAAGACATTCCCTGTTAAAACTGTAGTGAAGGTGGCTCTGGGAGTTGATGAAGGAGGAAGAGCTGAAAGACCTGTTCCTCCTGCTGAGCCCTGGGCTGCAGGCTGGCTGTCAAGTAGCACTCCTGGTTTCCCCTGACAGTTTGCAGGAGAATTCTTTTGAGTAAAGCTAGAAATGTTGTCTTGTCTGATTTTGTCAGGATTGTGTTCAACTTGTCTCCAGAGAGCAATCACCTGGCCAAGTTAGTCTTCCTTTTTCTTCCTGAAAAGGATCTCTTATGTGACCTGGAAGAATAAGTCTAGTTCAGCCTAGTTGTTTTAAAATAACTTCCCTGGAATGAAAAATGTCCAAGTAATGCTATATTTAAGTTTTTGTGTTTTAGCATTCCAGTTGTTGGCATAAGCTAGATGCTGCTGAACTGAGAGTTCAAAAATACTAACAACTATTCATTGAAATATGGCAATGTGTACTGTCAATACTAACAACAAAAATACTAACTAAATACTAACAATTGTTCAATTGTTATTGACTGTTATTAATACTAACAATTGTACTGTCTGATGTCCTAGATGATGCTGGATCACATTGAATAGTTCATAGATTGTTGCAACAGGTGCTTCCTAGATTGGTGTATGCTCATACGTGCAAATAAAATGAGGGTATCTTCCTGAAAGTTCTGAACGTATGGTAAAAGCCTTTAAATTCCATTTAAGCTTTGGTGTATGCTCATACGTGCAAATACAATGAGGGTATCTTCCTGAAAGTTCTGAATTCCATTTAAGCGGATTTCAATGACCCTGCATTTCTGGGGAGAAAGAAGTGTTTCCTAATGTTCAGAGGGAACCTCTGTTTCAGTTTGTGCCCGGTGGCTCAGGTCCTGTCACAGGACACCACTGGAAAGAGCCCAGCTCTGCCCTCTCAGTGCCCTCCCTTCAAGTGTATGTATGCTTGTAAGAACCCCCCTCTTTTTTAGGCTGAATACCTTCACAGGCCATCATCTTGTTCTAGAATTTTGTAACTAATAAGTTACAGGGTTACAGGCTCATCTGCTGGTTCACTGTATGACAAAGGTGTTAAAAAAGGTGTTAGCCACTGCTGTTGAACCTGTTCCATTGGGAATTGTGATCCTTCAGATTTGCCTGGGCTTTGTTATTATGCCCCTTTCTGTAATATTTTGTGAAACTTGGGAGTAGTTTAGGAAGGATTTTTTGAGGAAACCATTTTTAATTTGATGGGGGGGAAGAGCCAGTGCTTGTTCTGGGTGCATTCTGCAGAATACTACTGCAGGATGTTTTTAAAATGCTAACATTGCAAGGTTATATTAGAAATAATTTGAATATTAGAAATAATTTACACCTCTACCCAAGGTGTGAATAACTATATGGATACTTTTTACTGATAACCATTTGTTCTTTGTTTTTTCTTTTAAAATTTATTATCTCCATACTCTTATAGTAGTATTTCTGTGCAGGTAAAATCCATAGGTAACACAGTCTGTTCCCTATGGTGTCATTTTTTTACTAGAAGCAGACCCATCACACAACAGCAGTCTGAACCATTTTGAGGGGTAGGAAAACTGGGTTTTCTACATGGAAAAAAACATGAGTGTGAAGTTCTGTGCAAGTCTCTCGTTCACCATATTAGCTGCTTGCTGCAATTGCACAGGGAATTTAGTGCTGTGGTGCAAGGCACAATGAAGGTGTAAACTGCATGTAATGGATGTATTTAAACCATCCTGACAGAGTTTAGGCTGCAGTGTATGAAATGGGTGGAGAAGGCCTAGTAAGAAACTGAGAGTCGTCACTTTATGCCTTTACCTGAAGGCGTAGCATGTAGTGTAAAATGTAAGCAGCAGTGCTCTGATGTATTTCTAATTGGTTTGGTCAAGCCCTAAGTGTGTGTCTTTTTTCTCCCCAGCTGAGTATTGAACAGGCCCAGGCTGTGGCAGAGCAAGTCGAGATGAAAGCGAAGGTGGTACAGTCTGAAGTCAAAGTCGTGACCACCAGACACAAGAAGGCCTTAGAAGAGCGCGAGTGTGAGCTGCTCTGGAAGGTATGCACCCTTACACTTCGGGTTTGTACTGCTGACAGGTGCTTCTCAAACTGAAAATTACTCAAAACTACCACACAGCCAGATTCTGACATCCAAGGAGAGCTGCCGGTTTCCCTATCCGGAGCCGCTGGTGGGGTTTTGCGGGAGCAGCACAGCCCCACGCGCGGGCTGGGCGCTCCCTCTGCTGGCCCCGCCGCTGCCCCGGAGGAGATCCCCTCTGAACAGTGTCTTCAAAATGCCTTTAATGGGCTGCTCTAGAAGTGGGTACATAGTGTAATTGGTTTTCTGATCCACTCCTCATAAAGGACAGGAGCAAAGCTGCATATCCTATCCTGTCCTTTTTTGTTTTTGGAGAGGCTAGTAAAAGTTCTGTGAGACTAACTTTCACTGTCCCCATCCTTAAAAACCTTTACTGTCAATCAAGTCATCCTCCCTCTAAGTAATTTTTTAAACTAGTATAAGAAAAGAGTATCTACACAATTCTGAACTGATGGGCTCATTTCAGCTCAACAGTGGATGTGTGGTAGGTATTTTGGGAAGAGGAGAGGAAGTAACAGGCAAGTTTCTTTTTCCAGAGGAGTAATTCAGTGGTCATGGTCCCCTGCAAGAGAAGCTTTGTTTTGTAAGTGTCAATAGCAAGATTAAAATTGCACTTTATATAGTTAGTGTACTTTGAATGCTGCTTTTTTGAGGTTTTGGATTGAGGGCTTTGGATGAGTTCACTTTTCACTGTTAACCTTCTGAAGGAAGCTTGGCAGCTTTATCTTTTAAGGTATTCCTAGTAGGGGAGGAGTAAGATCTGCCTCTGAGCTCTTTTTATCCCACTGTGCTGTACAAGTGCACTTTGTTGGAATATCTGCACTGAGAGCAAGTTCTCTTCAAGTCGGAAAACATTCTTTTTAGGAAACATGGTGGTAGTAAATGATTTTAGCAAAACAAACTCAGTATATCAAGCTCTTGTATCAAGCATGCTAATAAACAATTTTGTGTACCAGGGCTGAATCTAAGGATTAAGCTGAGACCTAAAATCTGTAATTTGACTTGGATAACTATTGGAAGAAGCGTCTCCAAAATTTTTTTACAGCTTATTTGTACATATGTTATCTAGTCAGTGTCTAACCAAAGAGTCTTCAGACACTGAGTCTTCCTTCACTAAAACACATTCCAGATAGTTCTGAGGGCAAGCAAGTATTCAGACATCAGGAAATGTACTTTTGCAACAATAAAAACAAAGACATGTTACATTAGTTTTACAAAGCAGGTGTCTTCGCCAGATGGTCCAAAGTGGTTTTTCACAAGTAGGGGCAGACACAGGCTTATATAGTTGAGTTACAAAACAGGCATTTTTGCACTAACTTCAGTCCCTCAAGCAGGGACTGGCAGCAACCTTCTGCGTTATTTGAAGTGACATTCACAAAACATCCTGTTTTAAAGCACAAGCTTAGCATGACTGCCAGTATTTACAAGAAAATATTAAAATAATTGGACCCTAAAAATCCCTGTAGATAGATGTCTGGTATTATCCAGTCACATGAAAAGAGTTCTGGCAGGCAGGGGAATGTCAGGAGCCCACGTGCGTTAGCTGATGCTGACTCCCAGCCTGAACTCCATGGGGCAACCTGCTTTATGAAATTGGTCTCAGTTGTGGTTAGTGAAACCTCAGCCTCTGCTCTTCTGGAGAGGCAGCAATAACTTCTGTCCTCTCTGGGGGCTGAATGAGATGTGCCTTTGGATGATCTGTCAAGTACCTTGCAACTAGAAAACAGAATAGCATTTGAGGAAGCAAATAATTACTAGTAAGCAGGTGATTCTTGCTTTCAAATGTCACTCTGATGAAGCACATCTGCAGAGTAGGAATGTATGGTGTTGCCTGGAGGGTAGGAGAGACTAATAATCCTAAATTTGGATAAGTAATTAGTTTTCCTTGTTTCTTCTTGTCTAGATTGTGATTTTTAGAGGTTTGTTCTGCAGCTGTTTGTCAGCATGCTATTACAACTGTCCAACTGGCTTTTATGTAAAAGGAGACAGAAGGAAATCTGTGTTCAGTCTTTCCTGATGCAAGTGTGCTTTTGTCTCCCCCATTTCCCACAAGGTGGAAAAGATTCGCCAAGTCAAGGCCAAGTCACTTTACTTGCAAGTTGAAAAGTTGCGTCAGAACCTAAACAAGCTGGATAACACCATTAGTGCTGTTCAGCAGGTCCTGGAGGAGGGTCGTACCATGGATATTCTTCTGGCTCGGGACCGCATGCTGGCTCAGGTGCAGGAGCTGAAGAACGTCAGAGGCCTTCTCCAGCCACAGGAAGACGACAGGATCATGTTCACCCCCCCTGACCAGGCATTGTACATGGCCATTAAATCCATGGGCTTTGTCAGCAGCGGGGCTTTTGCTCCCTTGACCAAAGCCACGGGGGAAGGTCTCAAGCGGGCGCTGCAGGGCAAGTTGGCCTCGTTCACCGTGATCGGCTATGACCACGACGGGGAGCCTCGCCTTTCCGGGGGTGACATGATCTCTGCCGTGGTCATGGGCCCAGATGGAAACCTTTTCGGGGCGGACGTCAGCGATCAGCAGAACGGGACCTACCTGGTCAGCTACCGTCCCCAGCTGGAGGGAGAGCACCTGGTGTCCGTGATGATGTGCAACCAACACATTGAGAACAGCCCCTTCAAAGTGATGGTGAAGTCCGGGCGCAGCTACATCGGCATCGGGCTGCCAGGGCTGTCCTTCGGCAGCGAGGGAGACAGCGACGGCAAGCTCTGCCGCCCCTGGGGGGTCAGCGTCGACAAAGAAGGCTTCATCATCGTCGCCGACCGCAGCAACAACCGCATCCAGGTGTTCAAGCCGTGCGGGACCTTCCATCACAAGTTTGGCACGCTGGGCTCCCGGCCGGGCCAGTTCGATCGCCCCGCCGGCGTGGCCTGTGACGTTTCGCGTAGGATCGTCGTGGCCGACAAGGACAATCATCGCATCCAGATCTTCACGTTCGAGGGGCAGTTCATTCTGAAGTTCGGGGAGAAAGGAACAAAGAACGGGCAGTTCAATTACCCGTGGGATGTGGCCGTCAACGCAGAGGGCAAGATCCTGGTCTCCGACACGAGGAACCATCGCGTTCAGCTGTTCGGGCCCGACGGCGTGTTCCTTAACAAGTACGGCTTCGAAGGGGTACTCTGGAAGCACTTTGATTCCCCCAGAGGTGTGACGTTCAATCACGAGGGCCACTTGGTAGTGACGGACTTCAACAACCATCGCCTCTTGGTCATCCATCCGGATTGCCAGTCGGCGCGCTTCCTGGGCTCCGAGGGCACCGGCAACGGGCAGTTCCTGCGCCCGCAGGGAGTGGCGGTGGATCAGGAAGGACGCATCATCGTGGCCGACTCCAGGAACCACCGGGTGCAGATATTCGAGTCCAATGGTAGCTTTTTATGCAAGTTTGGCACTCAGGGAAGCGGCTTTGGCCAGATGGACCGTCCTTCAGGTATCGCTGTCACCCCTGATGGCATGATCGTTGTGGTCGACTTTGGAAACAATCGAATTCTCGTCTTCTAATCTGTGTTTGAATTAGGAAGAAACTGTCTCAGGGAAATTCTTCTAAGAGAAAATGAAAAAATACAACGTTAATTCAAACCTACCTCATCTTTAATTTTTTTACAGATGAATGTACTTATCTTTTCTGCAGGGAGTGAGCCTGTAAAATTGAATTCTATCTACCTCATTGTCCTCCCTTCCCTCCCTGATTTCTCGCCCCCTTCCCATCCCCACATACTCATAGTTCAGAACGTTTTACCTCTTTCCCCCGATGGGGTTTCATGCACAAACAAGAATTGCTGTGCACATTAGGTGGTTTGTGTGGTGAGTTCTGTTAGACTAAGCCAAGAAAGGCGCTATGTAACTTCTTAAATGGAGAAAATGGTAGTAGATGTTTGTAGAGAATTTGTGTTCTTGACCATTCTGCAGTTCTGTGGGTGGGGACATGGGAGGGAGGGACATTTGTTGTTGTTGTTGGTTTTGTTTTGTTTTTTGTTTATTTTTTTTTTCATTGCTGCTGCAGCAGAGAACTTTTTCCTGTTCTCCTTTTTATACCTCAGTGTATTTGATTTACTGGCGAGCACAGCATCTTGTTCCCAGACCACTTTGAACGTTTTATGAAAGTGAGTGAGATTCACTTGCCAGGAAGAGCAAGTTTGTATCTTTTTTGGCATTTCTGTGTATTTTTTTACTGAAACACAGTAATTTAACAGCACAAAGTGAAGCTGATGAAAATGCACAAAAATTCTTTAAGTTTAAACCAAATTGTTCATTTTAGTGGCTTAGTGCGGTCATTGTAAAGTTTAGATAAAAGGCAAGGCTTCCTTTAGTCTATCCTGTTATTGAGAATTTCATTTTTACCTCTTTTCACCTTAAAGCTAAATTAGTTTGAAAAAAGCTACTGTTTCTTTCTATCAGTGCCCCTAATCTAGGTAACAGAAGAGGTTAGACGGAGCATTGAAACAGGGAAAAATCAAACCCTTTTGATTTACTTTCTTGTGAAATGACTTAGCATTTTTTTGCCCCTTCCCATAGAGAAACCTTAAGGGAATAATGTTTGAATTTGTTAGAAGTGGTACCTTTTTCCAAAAGTAAGAAATAAGCACAGCTTTGGAGATTCAGGGTGTGATTTGGAGAAGTCAAAAGTTGTTTTGTTTTGGGGTTTTTTGTTCAGAGAGGATTGCAATAACTCTTTTACTGATTAATTTGTTGTTGTTGTTGTTGTTTTTTGGTCTTCTGGCTTCCCCAGAGAGTTGGACTGAAGATTTTGGGAATAGCTACTGTAGCTTTTAGGGTGGGTGGGGTGGGCCTGGAGCTCCCTGCTGCAGGATCTCTGGCTGCAGATCCAAGTGAAGAGTTACCAGTACCGGCTAAAGGCAAACTGCATCAAGGTGAAACTTTGCTGCTTTTTTCCCAGGGCAGTACCAAAGACTTCTGTGTAAAATTAATGTATATGATCCTTAAAAGCTTGGAGGCAGAGGGAAGTTTGCCCTTTCGGGGATATAGAAACTGGTGTTCTGAGAAGCAGAAACGTTTGGGGAGAATAGAGATCTCTTTAGCAAAATGTGACTTTGAGTCCCTGGAAGGATTTAGTTTTATTCTTCAATTTCCTGCATTCCAGTTTAGCTGTTCAAGCAGATATGGTCTCTACAGACCTGCAGCTTCACTCACTGGTGTTGGCAAACAAGAATTGTTTAAAGTGGGCAACAGAGGGCTCTTCTTGCTCTCTGCAATGGAAAAACTGATGTGTCAGTACTCTTGAGTTTGGAAATGCCATGGGATTTACCTTACTGTTTGCAAGAGAAGATCTTTGAAATGTAAATGTTGTCAAAAAGTCTGAAGAGCCTTAACCATCCTGCAAGGAAAGGGTTCGTCTCTCTGCCAGCCACCATGCACAAAAGTGACCTGAGGTTGAAAGGCTCTTTACAAGTTCGTGAGAAATCACAAGGTGCACTTTCCTTCTTGCTGCTTTTCCCCTCCAAGGAGTGTAAACTTTCTGAGTTTTGTAGAAATACCAATGATGTGTGCAGACGGAGAGAGCTGCCACTTTAGAGGAGGCTTAAACTAAAGGACCAGAAAGAGACAAGAAAGATTCATGAGATGGCAAAACCCTCTTTCAAAAGAAGGGTGAGGAAAACCACCTAAATTAAATGGGATAAAACAACTGTGCTGCCTTTCAGCCAAAGCCTCAAGGAAGCAAACTCTTCAAAGCAGTGTGTTTCAGTTAGGCTTAATCTTAGGATGGCATGGTTTAAAAACAGTCTTGAAAGGATAATCTTTTATACAGATGTCTGTCATTAAATTTCTGTGGCCACACAAAACATGTATCAGAGAGAGCTGGTTTACCTTCAAGTTTTGCAAGTTCTGCCTGTGTGCATGCCTCCCTTCTTGGGGGTGGCCTACAGTTGTGACAGACATCCATGGTTGTCTTGTGTTATTCAGCCCAAGAACTATTTGCAGCTTGGGCTGTGAAAACTAATAGCCTGCAAGATCCAGATACCAAAGAATAGTGGTTTAAAAAGCTTTAATGTTTAGTCTGCAGTGTCCTTGCAGTTATCCTGTCATGTCTTAATGAAAATGCCAGGTCTCTAAATACTTTGACCAGAGTGGCTGACAGTGTTGAAGTGTCCTAGAAATGCTCTTGTGCTTAAATGCTTGTGGGGTTTGCCCTTCTCTGTGGCTAGAAGGGAGTTGTTTTTCATTAAAAAAAAAAAAAAACCAAAAAAAAAGAAAAAGTGTGCAGTCAGGATTGTGTTGAACTGGAGGAACGTTTTGGCCCCCCAGCCTGCACCGTGTGGAAGGTGACAGACACTGAAGTTGCCCTTTGCTTTTTGAATGGAGCCATTGCACAACCCCCCAGCTCAGTCAGGAAGAGGAGTGACTTAAACTCTTTCTAAGTTGCTGTCTATTTAACTCAGTGGGATTTGCTTGCAAACCGAACCTTGAGTGTTTGACCTCATGTTGTTGGGGAGCTTTTTCGTTTTAAAAACACTACTATTTAGCTACCCAAAATAATTCCTTATCTTTGTGATAGATAGTGCTAAGCACACTTGGTCTCATTGAAAAGTGGTAGTGTAGCTTATAAAATGGAGTGTTTTATATGCAATGAAAAAAAGCAGTGCTAATATACAATGCCAACATCAGATGCCCCGTAGAGGCTTATTAAAAAGTAATAAATGAGATTCCAACCTTGCTCTGCTTTTCCATGCATGTTCTCAGGTTAATGCCCCAGTATCATAATGTCCATGCATGCAGAGAGGAAAAGCAAGGCTTGGAAGCTGGATTGCAAACCAAATGAGCATTCAGAGTAACCTTCTTAACTAGGGGAAATGGCCTGGAGAAGGGTAAAGTGAGCGTGTGCCTCTTCGTTGGGGAACAGCAAATGTGAGGGACAGAGCTGTCTACTCAAACTCCCAAAGGATTTTCTCTGCCAGGTTAAACCAGTGGCTCTCTGTAAACCTTTTGCTTGACAAAACGTTATCAGCAATCAGTGTGGCTGGTTTGGGTGCTCCGCATGTAAAGCAATCTTGTCCTTTCTCAGAATATTTAAGCAGGAACTTCAGTAGCAAACTGAAGCAGATTCAGTACTTGATAATGCAGGTCCTTCACATAACTTGCTCCTTTTGATTGAGTACATTTTAAGTATAACTTATTTAAGGAGGCCCATAAACGTGAAACTTTTACAGAAAGCAAGGAAAGGAAGATAACAGCTGAAAACTAATGCGTGTTAGGGCCAGGCATAACCAACCCGGGAGAAAGAACAAGTCACTTGGATGTGGCATTCCCTTGGAATTGAAGGAAAGTGGGCCCAGTCCGTTACGTTACAGTTAAACCAAAATTGATTTCTGAAGAGAGCAGGTTTATAGACTCATCTTGCCATAACTTTGATCATAAGATTTCTTTGTTCAGTTTTAGTTTAAAAAAAATATTGTGCCAAAGTTTTGTTTATTTTTTAAAGGAGTGTAAGCCAAATGGTGCCAAAAGGTAATAGGGTATTTAAAAGTAGAGATATTTAGAGAAACAGTTTGGAACTGTATAAAAAAGGAACACTGGTACTTGAGTTAGACAAATATTGTACCTTTGGTCTTTGAGTCCTTGGGAGTTGGAAACCCAGTTTGCTGTGGTACAAAATGCACAACTAGAGATGCCACTATCTTTTGCTTGAAGTTCTACCTCACTTTGCAGAAGTAAATCATCTACCTCAATTTAGCATCAGACAGGTTTGGGAAATAGTTGAGAATCTGCCTGGGTGAAGGATTCATCCTGCCTGTTGGAAAAGCATTTAAATTGAAACAGAGATACTAAGTGTGTACTATGTGGTGACTGCTTGCTTTTGTTTGCTTTTGTTTTTGCTGCCTGCCTATGGAGATATTAAGCTGCCCTTGCTAGAGAATCTGTAAATAAAACCAAATGTTCAGGCAAACTGGACTGGACCTGAAAAGCTTCTGAGTTTGTTCTGGTTTCACTACGAGGTATGGAAGTGTAAACTTTTGTTCAGTATTACGACACTACTGGCTGACTTGACATACTTCATGTTCATTTGCAGTGTTCTTACATCCTTAAGACCTTGAGGTCGTCTCTCTACAAGAGAAAAACTTTATGCATGCCTACCAATGTGTCCTGTTTGGGAGGACTGGTGTTAGGATTGCTGTAAACACAATGCTATACCAAATGCTTGAATGGAATAAGGTCCTGGTTTTTTATTTTATTGACTTGGTGATTGTATTAGTAGCTTGCTTGACTCAATGGGATTTTTTCCACCATGACAAAGCAATCGAGTTCCTATTCCTGGAGGGCAGCTTAGGTTCAGACATACTCAGGAGAGGCAGTTTAAAACCAGTGTCTTGGGGTTTTAGGCAAGTTAAGTAGTGACATGCAACGTACCTCGTTTTACCTGTGGAGTTAAGTTGCAGAAGCATGTTTTCAGACTACTCTGTTGGAGGAAAAAGAAGTCCTTTTTCCTCCCCAGCTCACATTAAGGGGTGGCAGAAATGGATACAGGAGACCCCTGATAACAATAG